CCCGAGAGGGGGCGGAGAGGACACAATGGCTAGGTCAGGGGCTGAGGCTGGGCATTGTGCTCCCCCGGGGACAATGGGTCGCCTCCTCCCTCCCCCGCCAGCCCATCTGCCCGTCTGCCCGCGGGGTCAGCTTCCCAGGCCCGGCTCGTCCTCCCGCTCCCCCCACTCCTCACTCTCACAGCTCATCCGCACTTGGACTAAAAGCCTGGGAGACCACCCCACCTCCAGACGACAGCTTCCACCCCTGACACTGTCATCCTGGCCACAACCTGGTCACATGTAGCTGTCCCTACCTGCTCAAACAGCAGGGCTCCGTGTCAGGGGCCAGAAAGGCATGAGCAGAACTGTCGCCCAGGGCCGCAGTCCCCTGCCCAGAGCACCTCAACACTGGGCTGAGGGGTGAGCAGGCCCTGGTGCAGCCAGCCTTGGTGCCCAGGGGCATCGCAGGGAGACCTCTGGTCCCTGCCACCCGGCCACTGCCCACCCAGCCCCTTCCTAGTCACCTGCTCTTTGGGATCCCAGCACCCTCACAGCTGGCTCAGCCCAGACCTGCACCCCAGCTTTGGCTCCCAGGAGCTCTCCCTGCCATAGCCTTTCCCAACCCCTGCCCTTCTTTGGCTCACCCTGTCCCCTCTGCTGTCCCAGAGCCTTTCTCCACCCACTCCTGTCCCTCTGTCCCTCTAGGCCGCCCTCCCTGCCCTAACTTCTGGCTCTCCCTCTCCTCTCCCTGGCTTCCCTGCACACCCTCATACTCTCCTCTTGCTCCCCCAGGCCTGGGCCTGGTCCCTTACCCCAGCCTCGGAGCAGCAGGAGCAGCAGCAACCCCGGCCCCATGGCCCCGCCAGGCCACGCCAGGCCCCGCCAGACCCCGCCAGGCCCGGCCCCTCAGTCCCGGGCTACTTCCCAAGCAGCCCCGGTCTTCTGCCTTCAGCCTGGGGGCCCCTGGGCTGTGGGCATTCCCCCACACCAAACTTGGGGGTACAGTGTGGGGCTCTGGCCTTGCTTTGGGGAGCCTGGGATCTGGGGGTGCCGAGGTCTGGGGTCAAGGCTGGAGGCTGCAATCCTCTCCGTCCTCCTGGAGCTGAGTCTCTGCTCTCAGCCCCAGCCCCCTCCCCACCCCTGTCCCCACCGTCCCCTCCTCCCATGACCAGGTCCCAGACACCAAGACAATTGGGGCGGGGACAGGGGAGCCAGTGGGGGCCAATGAGAGTGGGGCAAAGTTGGGGGGTCAGATCCGCCCCTTTCCCAACCTCCAGAATCCAACCACAGCCCGTCAGACCCGCCCCTTCCTCCCTCTCAACTTTGATCTAATGAGAGTGAAGTTCAAGGGGGAGTTGGGGCATCTGCTCTCCCCAGGCCGCCCCCAGGGACCCAGGGCCTGCAGGGGGTAGCTTGGAGTCTGGCTTGGGGGTCCAGGCCAGGGGTGCAGAGCCCCCACCCACCAAGCAGAGTCGCTGTCCCCGGTGCTGAGCCAGGGTCAGGGGACCTCATCCTGTGACTTCAGTCACAGTCCCCCGCAGCCCCTCACGTTCCTGGTGTCACTTTCCAAAGCTGCTCTCTCTATTCTTACCGGGACAATGGGTTGGGGCCCGCCAGGGGCCGGGAGGCTGCCAGCCAGCGGGAGGTGTGGGGATGGGGTCGGGGGACAGCCTCCACACACCCCATCCTAAAGAGAAGAAAGAGGCCCAGGCCACCCGCCCCTTGCGGGACCGACCACCTGAAACATGCAAGAAGAGGGAGCCTCCCTTTGTAGGGGCCTGAAACAGCGAGGGGCTGACTGTGAGGCTGTTTCTCTGGGACCCCCTCAATAAGCTCTGGCCTCCTCCAAACAGCAGAGCTTCAGAAAGACGAGAGGGGTTCCTGGGATGTGTGTGTTTGGGGATGTGTGTGTTTGGGGGATGTCTGTGAGACTTAGGAGAAAAGGCAGGGGTCCAGGGTTCAGTGGAGGTTCTGGTGCAGGCAGGTCTTGAGGTCGCAGCATTCAGGCTTCCCCACCCTGGAAGCTCCCATCTGCCTGTCTTGGGCTCACTGTTTTGTTTTGTTTTGTTTTTTTAAGAGGTTTTTGCTATAAGGCACATGCGCTCACCAGACAGAGAGAGATAGAGAAACAGAAAGCGAGAAATCCCCCCCCAGGGGAGATGGCCACACCGCAATCCCTTCTCCTCCATTATCCTCTTGGGACCTTGGGCACGCACGCACACGGGCCCAACGTAAGTTTTAAGCCACCGGGTCTGGGATGCGAACCGCAGTCGACTATGTGGGACACCAGTGACATATGTCGCTGGACTCCCACGTAGTTGACCGCGGTTCAAATCCCGGACCCAGTGGCTTAAACTCACGCTGGGCACATGTGTGTGTGTGCCCAAGATCCCGAGAGGAGAATGGAGGAGAAAGGATTGTGGTGTGGCCATCCCCCGTGGGGGGTGATTTCTCGTTTTCTATCTGTCTCTCTCTGTCTTTGTGGCGAGTGCGCGTGCCCTATAGCAAAACCTCTCAAAAAATAAAAGAGAGAGAGAGAGAATTACTTACTATATTTTTTAAAATTCAACCAAAGAGAGAGAAAAGGAGAGTGAGAAAGCAAGCTGCCAGGTCTGAGCCTTGAACCGTAGTCAGCCATGTGGGAATCCAGCACCCCAACCACTGCGCCACTTGCCGGCCCCCATGTCCTCAGTCTTTGTCCCCAGCTTACTCAGCACTTCTGTGGCTCATCCTGCCTGGCCCACAGGTGGCAGTCAGCTCACCGCCCCTTCTGCAGTTCAGCCCCCTCCTTCCAGAGCAGTCCTAGGCATCTGAGGCCCAGGCTCGGGCTACCTCTAAACCCCTGCAGCCTCCCCACTGGCCATTTTCTCTAGCCCTGCATCTTTCTGTCCTGGAGTTCCCCGGGGTGGGGGTGGGGAGTCCCCACCTCTGAGTCAGAGCAGCCCGGACAGGGAAGGAGACCGGGCCTTGCAGTCACGGAGACGTGAGCAAACCATTCCGAGGGATGTGTCCTCCGACTGCACTTCATCTGTAATGGGAACACCTCTTCCTCCTGACCGGAGGACTAACCCAGGTGAGGGCCCGGCATACGGCGTGGCCCGTGAGAGTTTGTGTCCACGTTTAAGAACCTGCCCTGCTATGGGCTAGGTTGAAGCCCTAGTCCCCAAAGGGATTGGGCTTTTAGGAGATCTTTAAGGTTAAGTGAGGTCAGAAGAGCGGGTCCTAATCTGATAGGACTGGTGGCCTAACAAAGAGAGGAAAATGGGCCAGCAGATGGCATTGTGGTCATGTCGTTGGACTCCCACATGACCAACTGCCAACTGCAGTTCGAGTCCTGGACGTGGTGGCTTAAAAATCGCCCAAGGCATGTGTGTGTGCCCAAGATCCGGGGAAGAAAATGGAGAAGGGACTGTGGTGTGGCCATCTCCTCTGTGGGTGATTTCTTACTTTCCTTCTCACTTTGTCTCTCCACCCCATGTGCCCTAAAGAAAAGTAAAAATAAAACTCTCAAAAAAAAAAAAAAAAAAAGAAAGAAAGAAAGAAAATGAGGAAGAGGGGCCAGAAGATGGCATGGTGGTTAAGGCGTTGGACTCCCACATGGTTGACTGTGGTTCAAGGTTGAGACCTGGTGGTTTGAAAACAGAGGAGAGGGACCAGCAGTTAGTGTAATGGCTATGTCGCTGGACTCCCACGTAGTGGATCGCGGTTCAAGTCTGGGACCTGGTGGCTTAAACTCATGCCGGGCACGTGTGCATGCATGCCCAAGATCCTAAAAGGAGAATGGAGGAGAAGGGATTGTGGCGTGACCATCGCCCCTGGGGGGTGATTTCTTGCTTTCTGTCTCTCTGTCTCTCTCTGTCTGTCTGGCGAGTGCACGCGCCCTATAGCAAAAACCTCTCCA